TGGAGGCGCCTGCCGTGCTGTTACGCCCCGTGCGCCGGCGCGGGGGAAGTCTCGGCCCCGGCCCTCCACCGCCTGCGTTTCGTTCAGCTCCGCTGCCCCAACGAAGGCAACAGCAGTCAGAGCACCTTTTAAACTTCCTCTCCCTAGCCCGAGACTTGCCCATGCAAGCAATGGGGATCTTGAAGCCGCTCTGATCATGAAATACCCCATTTTTTTGATGCGTCCCTTTGCCCCTTGTGGCAGGGACCACGAGGCAGGGCGATAAGGCGCACAAGGAAGCTGTACACGGTCGGAGGGGTTGTGACTCTCCGCCTGCTGCCAGGCTGGGACCAGGCCCAGGAGAAGGGCAGATGGCGTATGTGGCCCTTGGCATTGTACAAGCAACCCACCCGTGGTGCTTGCCGGGAGGTGAGGTGGCCTAGGAATCAGGCCCTGCCGTGCTGCACTCGCAGAGGGACTCGTGCACAGGAGCCCATGTGTCCATGCCCCAGAAGAAACACGACCCACAGGAAACAGGACAGTGGCAGACTCTTGTGTTCAGAAAGGGGAACTGTGAGTCGGCTCTCTGGGTCTTTTGGCCTGTTGTATCATGCATGTCCTCAATGTTTCACCATCTGGTCAGTAGAAGTTTTGTTCAACTCCCCCAGGGGTGTGAGTTACAATCAATGTTTTTGAAAGTGCTTGGAAATCCTTCTGAAAAAAAAAAGAGACCCAGTAATAGCATGGTATCCGTAGAGGCCCAAGTGCCTTATACCAAGTATTCTTCCCTGCACTCTTGCTCACTCTGTGCAGGGGGCAGAGAATCAATGGAAAAAGGGAACTGATACTCAGCATCATAAGAACCACCTCATCCTGAAATTCATTTCACCCAGCCCATGCTTCCCAGGGAAGTGCAAACAGCAACTCATGCTCCATCTGCCCTTCCGGCCAGCAGCCAGTTTGGCACAAGGCTGCTCTCAAGCAAGTGTAAGCAGCTCCAGGAGAAGATGCCCTCACAGGAGCCTGGTGCACCAGCGCACAGCTGCCTGCCACTTCTGTGCCACTTCCACAGCAACTTTGGGGAATGTCCTGGCCATGAGACAGTAGAGGAAGCGGACAGAGGGCAGGAGCGGGTGCTGCTGCTGACCCAGAGACACAGGGTGATCCAGTTTAGCCCAACTTGCTGAGCCAGCTCTTCTCGTCCCTGCCTCAGCCCATGCAGCGATGAACTTTCCTTTCTAAGGACAGTCCTTTCTAAGGACTGGGCTGAAACAGAGGCATTCCAGCAGTAAAGCATATGACTTTGCATCAAGACAATGCAGAATTCTTAGTCCTTAAAAATCAAACTACTCCCTGCACTGCAAGAGTGACAGCTCTGAAACATGTTCTGCACAGAGCATTATCAGATGGTTTGGCATGATACTCGCCCTCCAGTTGCCCCCCAATAGAGGATGAAAGGTTTGGCGAAATGTTGAGGAGCCATCAATGGCATGTACGTGTGGTTCCTCACCTAGCATTTACTGTGAAGGGCAAAATTAAAAAAAAAAAAAAAAAAGATGGAAGCAGAGCATTGAGTTGCTGCTTCAGAAACGTTTCCTGGATTGTATTGACATTTTTACAGAGCTTTTCATAAACAGCGTCTCGGAGGATTTTACAATGCCACAAGTTGCATGCCTTTAGCAGGCCCCGTGCGCCAATTCTGCTCGCAGATGCAGGTTTGCAAAGCCCACTGCTTTCCTTGGAAATGGCATGGATCTCTCCAAGGGCAGGATTAGACCCACTGCTTGCAGGTAAATGAGATAAATTGAATGTGCTTTTACACCGTTATCTTTCATGCATATGTGACCAGGTGCATCACAATCAGATAAGCTACTAAGTCTTCCAAAAGCGAATAGTTTAATAGGATGCTGAGGCTAAACACCGTGCTTATCACTGGGCCTTCCCGAACAGCTGATCAAGTCACCAGGGAGACTGTATCTCAGAAGAACAGCATAGTTTTTTGCTCAGAAAGTATCCTAAACCACAGCCATGCAGAACTTCTTTTCTTTGCCTTGAGTAATTTTCAGATGATTTGCCTTTCAAGATCTGGTAAAGCCTTTACATTGCGTTGTTACTTCTCTGGTCGTGAAGCAGCTCAAAACCTTCAAACCGTGATGTTAGTTAAACAGATAGCAATTCATCAAGTCCTGTTTTGCAGTATGTCATGGGAATAATATTATTAACAACAGCTTTTAAGATTTCCTGTTTAATTACTGCAAAAATAAGTAACTCCAGAATGGGTATCTAGCCAAATCCCGGTAGAGGAGCAATGGTGTTCCTGCCTCAACGGACACACTGAAGCTTGTGCCACCTCTTTTTCACACATACAGCACTTTTCTTCCATTTCAGATGTGCTTTTAAACACCCTCCTGGATCTTCTTGATGGCCAACAGCGCTCTCACTCTCAAATTAAGCTGAAAAACAAAAGCACCCACTGCGCACAGGCTACTTGCCTTTACACCTCAATCCCTGAATAAGAAAGCTGACAGTCACTAGAGCCACGTACTCCTCCTAGATGGCCATAAAGTACCGAAACTGGCCCAACCGTTACACAGACCGCTCTTAACGGCATCCCCAGGCCCAGCCCAAGCCACCA